AGGAAGCGGCACAAGCTGGAACAAACACAAGGCGGCGGTGGAGCTGGGGGCCAGCTCTCCAGGTATCTCCATCTCCCTCCAGTATCTCCATACTTGGGGATTTCATGCCCGACTGGGTGAAGCCTGCTCCGAGCCCAGATGGGCTTTGCTCTGTGCAGCGGCTGCGGCCAGAGATCTCCCCAAATCCCTGCCACTCTGCACAGGATCCTGTGACCCCGTGAAGGGAGAAATGAAATACCGTTCTTCTCTGTTTTTTTTGCTAAATGCATTGAAGAGTATCGGTCACCTGGACACTCTGTCAGCTGATGACTATGTATCGGTTTAACAGCACAGAAAAAGTACCAAGTGCTTGTATTCATTTGGGGACTGCTTTTACCTCAGCTGTAGCAGCAATATTCGAAATTAAATTTCACTGGACTATTACTGCAGGGATGACTTGCAAAGGCCTGTTTTGTTCCAATACTAGCGATATAGTCAGTGCTGCCTATATTTGCTTTCTTCAAATAAAGAGTTTCCGAGATGGCCTCAGAGACCTAAATCTGCAGCTCACCTGCAAAACCTGGTTGAAACAGGACTGTGAGGCTTTGGAAAGCACCACCATTCTCTTGAATCCAGGTATGGCCTCCTGAAATTACATGCAAGAAAAGTCGTAACTGTGCCTCACCTTGATAGTACCTGACTGCACCCAAAAGGTTTTCACCCGTGGTTGGTCATCCTGCAACTCATGGAGATAGTCCCACAAATCTGAACAATACCCTGGGCTCAGAACCTCCAGTCAACCAGAGACTTAGTAGCAGCAAAGAAAAACACTGCCAGAAAGCTGCCCAATCTTTTCCCTTTGGCAAAACAAGGTGCAAGAACACAGACACCACTGCATTTGTGGCATCTTCTTGGCATAGCTACTACAGGATTAAGACTACCATTCCTTCTTTACTGTATATTGTTCAACGATGGAGCAGAGGGAGATGGGTCTGACACTAAGGACCACAGTTTCACTTGGAAATGAGGAACTTACTTTCATGAATCAGGCTTTCAGGATGAAAACATATTAATGGTGTCTGTGCAAGGCAGTCTGCAGGACATGTTGCTTCCTGGAGGTGCCTGCAGTTAAGGTAGCAGCAATCTGAGGAACAGCTTCTTTTCAAAAAGCTCCAAATCAATAGCTCCAAAGCCTATAGTGGAACTGTTCAGCCCTGGAAGCCAGATAATACCCGCTTCAAAGTAAATCCCCAAACCACAGAGAGATGAGGATCCTCAGGACCACTGAAAGGGGTATAATCTCCTTATTCACTCTTACTGTACTGTGCTACTGATAACGTAGATTTAGCACAATACTTGAGAGGTTCCACTGAAATTCCCATAAAACTCAAAACTAAATCCTTTACTAAATCAAGTGTCAAGGTACTTATGTTTTATTTGTCTGCAGTAGGAAGCCTCAAATGCCAGAGAAAAATAAAGATTATCAATTAAGGGAGATAACAAATTAATAAAAATCCCAGGATCTTCAGGATCCCAAAAATCCATCTTTGTTCTAGAAAGATGGAATCACACTGTCAACAGCACAGAAACAACTGCTATCCTTTTTAAAGGGTCAAGCATGTGATTTTCAGTGACACTAGAAGCATTTGTTTCATACCTACCATCAAGATTCATCGGTGTCCTAGGCTTGCCACAGATTGCTGGCCTGGGTTGCTTTGGGTTTTCTGCTAAATACTCCTTCTCTCCTATCCCCTTCTTCTCCTGAAATGTTATCTTTAAAAAGGTAACACCTGTGGAACCCATACGTCAATTCCAGTGACTTTACACTGATGGAGTTAGCAGCACCACCTCAGAGAAGTAAGATTTTGTAAAAAAACAGGATCAGAACAGGACATGGTGTTTCGCCTTCTCATCCACCCAATTCCTTAATAGCAGCATTGTGCATTTAAGTACCTTGGTGGCACCACAGATCCATGGCAAAGCTGTTCTTTTTCTCCCTTCCTTGTTACACTCTTAACAAGAGATTCATTCAAAACATGAAATATTCAATCATTTGACATTTTGCCCTGAACACTTCTCGAGGCAAGGAAGGGGCAGAGACTGGTTTTGGTATCACATGGATTTTCTGTATGTCTCAGTTTTGATTCTGGCAAGAACAAACAGTACCCTTCAGTTATCATCCTCTCCCAGAAGTGAAGCTTTTCTTCAGGAAAACACATGATTTGATAATGAGCTCTATGACATTTTCAGAGTACTGCACAAGGTCTGACACGTTGCATGGGAACTTGATAGACTGCAATAGTGTACACTTACTGTGTTACACACATGCGTATGTACAGAAACCTTCCCTGCATCTTTCACCTTTGAGTTCATCTGGGATAATATAAGAGAAACAGTGAACCATTTGGCCAAATGAGCAAGTTTATGCTCTTCACTGGTGTTCATTCTTCTTCCTCCCTTTATTTTTCCCTCTGCAAAAAATGTTTTGTTTCAAAATTCAGTGGGTCTAGCAAAACCAATTAGATTTTTCTGGTGTTAATCACAGCATCGTTGAGGTTGGCAGGGGCCTCTGGAAGTCATCTGGTATAACCCTGTGGTCAAGCAGGGCCACCTAGAGCTGGCTGCCCAGGACCATGTCCAGACGGCTTTCGAATACCTGCAAGGAGGGAGGCTCCACAACTGCTCCGGACAACCTGTGCCAGGGCTCAGTCACCATCACAGTAAAAGCTGTTCAGCTGGAGCCTCCTTGTGTTTCAGTCTGTGCCCACTGCCTCTGGTCCTCTCACTGGGCACCACCATGGAAAAATATCCAATGAAAGATCAGATTTTTACCATAATTAGACAAAACACACAAGCAGAAGAATGGTTTGCCAAGAATATTGATGTTAAGAATTTTCATCTGATTTCCTAAGGAAATGGATGTTGATCTCTCACACTATCTCTTCTTTCCTATTAACTTTTGAGTCTGTAAGCCATTTTCAAACACATTTAGAGCCAGGTTCACAGCTTCAAAGCTAAGTGAAAACATCAAAGTTTTAAGTTTGACTCCTTCAAACTTAAAAAAAGTATCTGTGGCAGTGTTGCGAGACCCAAATTAATGATTCATTGGGACAAATGGCAAGCAGAACATGCTTCTTGTAGCTGGCCCATCACGGTACCCGGAGTTCTGAATTAATCATAGACTGCCACTTCTTGCCTGCTGTTGTAAATGGAATTACTGCAGTGTGAGCACAGGCAATTCAGACAAATCCACAGGAAACCAGGCTTCATTAGTTCTACAGCCCATGGGACCGACTCTCTTTTTTGTTGCAGCATTTGCTTACCAGTGCAAAACTAAGCTGTACCTGCCCTCATCTAAGACACTTCTACCACAGTATTACAGCATCCATCTGTGATTTTTTCTCCAACTATACTAGTTTCCACAGTGTTACAATGGTGCAAACAGTGTGCATAAACAAAGCTATAGTTAAACAGAGGTGAAAACAACCAGCCTTCTGTCACAAAATAATCAGCCCTAAATAAAAACATGTTTGAATTTAGAAGCTGTCTTCCCACTTTAGGCACTTGCACTGATAAAGCAGGTAAAATGGTGTTGAGCCATTTCTCAGAGGGCATGTAATAAATGAAGAAGTAATAGATTTTTGAGCTGCTTATTAGGAAGGAAGAATGCAAAGTGTAGGAAGAAAGCAAGAAGTTGTCTCCTTGCCTCTTTCATGCTAATTAATGTATTCAGAAGCTGCACTGAAAGGAATTTAAACTCGTGATAGTCATAAGAGAACAGATCAAAGAAGAAAAAAACCAGACCAAGTCAAGGAAAAGAAAGCTGTACATGCTTTTCAGTTAGCAGACAGAATACAGGTCTGAAGGAGGTAAGATTTGTATTTTTTTATTCTACCCAAAATTTTCTGTGTTGGTTCAAAATTATGCTTCAGAATAAGCTTGGCTGTCTCTAAGTGAACTCTGAGAATGTTTTGTTTCCTAGAATTCTCTAGAATTCTCTTCAGTAAAGTCAACAGGTTTTATACTTTACCTGTGTAAGGTAGGTAGATTAGCTGGATACTATCAAGTAGGATCTGTTATTGTGCTGTTTAAATGACAGAAACATGATTACTTGTGGATTTCTTCTTCACTATGTTTGATCAATTACATTTTTTAACTGTTCAGACTGCTTTTAGCTGCATGATCATTCCCTTACGACTGAAAATTAAGATTATAAAAAATATAAATTTCCTGCACATCTATGTATAGATTTTCAACAGACATAAATTAGTATAACCATTTGAAAATCAACAGATCTGAGAGTTTACGCTGATTGAAAACCTGGCCCTTGAGGTTTTACATGGAATAACAGAAATAAAGAAACAACTACTTGTAAAAGCAATATTAATTTTTCTTCTTCTGGATAGTTTTTCTTGTCCAGATAAATTGCCTTTCTTTCTAGAGATTTTACTTCAGAAGCCTGCCATTGTGTAGTACCTAAAGAAACCATGTCAAATTCTTCTTTGTTGCATGCAGGTGCAAATAGCTGTAAGTGGAGCTATTCAAATGTAGACTATAGTTACGGTTTTGAGTTTTGCCTTAAATTTGGACAGTTGCATATCTATATGGATTTACTTGACTCTGAAGATATCAGATTATCCTGCCTCTCTAAAATGCTCCTGTTAAAACAAAAAAGTTGATAATGTTATGCTTTAAAGATAACAAATTATTTATTGCAATGAGGCACTGTATTTCTATCCTGTAGGTTTGAGCAGGACCAAGCTCACAAAATGCCCAGAAGAAACCACCACCCAGATGGCAACTTTTTCAGAGGGAAAGAATACAGCTATCATGCAGCAGAAGAGTAAGCATAAAGCAAAATCTATGTTAGCATCTAAGCTGGTGAAAAAAAATTTACCTTGAAAGAATTGTACAAAATAGTAACAGAAAAAGTCACCGTTGTATATAGGTAGAGTGCATTTTAGCTATCCTGTAGTTGGCTCTAATGTTTGTCATTGCAGAATCATAAAGAGCCCTCAACAGTTAAGAAAAATCAGAATTGCAGAATTCAGGAATCTAGAGTTTGACCATATGATCACAAATTACCAGGTTTATTGAGGCTTATTTAGAAATTTATTTTGAGGCTGTTGCAAGGTGATCTTTACATTAAGTTTTATCTCCTGATCCACATACCTCTCTTCAGAACCTCAAAGGGACACTGTCTCACCCTAAAGAATAATGTAAGTGAAAACCCCAGATAAATGGTAAAACAGCATCTCAAAAAGCAGATGGAGACATCAATGCCGTACAAATGTGACTCTCAGTAAATGGTTTCTGGGCGAGACTCCACTTAAGCACAACTAATTCAAGCTAATCCTTGGGTTAGTTTTGGCTTACAATACAGTATGTTGGGTCTCGGATTACCAGAGACACTATCACACTGGTTATGTGTTATTACTTTAGACAAATATTTCCAACATGCTTAGGATATCTGTATGTGGAATGTGCTTCTGGTTTACTGGCCCCCAAACCTGCAAGATATTTGCTTCTCCATGGGCAGAGAGAACAAACAAAATGCGAAGGCTTTCTCGTAGTCCTTCCAAAGCAGTTCAGTTCTCCAAAAGAAAAAGCTGGCTAGTCGTGTCTCAGTACTTGAAACTAAGCACACTCACCTCTAACTGCCACGAATTCCAGTGGCTGCAATTGCAAGCAGTTTTTCTAGATATGTGAGGAAAAAGTGACTCTCTCCTTCCAGTACCAGAAAGAGTATTCAAGATATAAACACAGAGTCCTTCCACAGCTGCAACTTTAACTGGAATTGCAAGAAATTGCATACATGCTCTCTATACAACCTTCTGAATAGGTAGGGAAGGAGTTAGATGGCAAACACACCGTTAAAATCACCAACTCCAGAAATGACATGCATCCTGTGTGGGAGGCATGCTAATGGATGGCTAAAACTACAGAGCATGTGAAAAGCAGAAAGCAGTCTCAAAATGTAGAAAGGGCAGCAGTTGTTTGGAAAAGTAGGCTCTCCGAGTTTTAATTGTGCTCGGGAGAGCAACAAAACCAGTGGAGCCATCTCGTAACTTTGCAGATCAGCTGCAACATGGCTGCACCAGGAAGCACGGGAATGCTGTGAGCTCTATTCTTGGGTTAAACAGATCTCCAGCCAACACGAAGTCTTGAAGGGGCAGAAGCAACTTGCAAGACACAGGTACCTGTGAAAAAGAAAATCCCTTTGGCTCCGAGGGGCTTCGTGCTTCAAACAGCTGACAGGCAGTTCAGACAAAAAGACAGCCTGTTCTGCCGCATGAATCTGCTTGTGTCTTCTTTCAGGCTTCTTAGGTCACAAGGAGACACTCCTTCATGAGATGCTAAGTCAGTGAAAACGATAGAAAATAGATATAAAAGGTCTCTGATAAGTCACATACCCCACTCCTCAGTCCCAATGGAAAAGTCTGGTGGCAATTACTGCAGGGCAACTGGATAGAAGATATATAAAAGTATGTTAGAGAGGGTTTATCCTGACTCATGTGGTCATTTTTTTTTCCTGTCCTCTTTTCCCTTTAAGTGTTTTACAGACTCTTCTGTTCCTGAACAGGCAAAGAACAAAAAAATGGGGAGTGAATTCTGGTTGTCTTAACAGGGAGGATATTAGCACAGGAGGAAGGGGGTTTGTGACCAGGAAACTGGCAGTTACTTTGTCAGCTTGCTTTCTGACAGATGGTGGAACTGTGCTGCTTCTCCCAAGTCACTGGTAAGCAGTGGGACAGACGTCTTACAGCACAGTCTGCAAAGCCTACTTCCTCTAAAATGGCCCAGTGACACCAATACTGTGCCCAGTATGCCACGGAACAAGAACCAAAGAATTGTAGAGCTCCTTATGAATAATTCAGAGTTTCTTACTTGGGTTTTGAGGTTGCATAGTGTTTTATTTTCCAGAAAATCCTTCTGTCACCAGCAGTTGTTGCAATATGATGCAGTTAAGATACATTTCTCAATACTTGCTGCCTAGAGAAATTTAACAAATAAAGGTAAGCTGTGTCTCCGCAGGTGTGGTATTTAATTTATTTCACACTCTCTGCCAATATTGCAATGCTGTTTGCTGGATTTACAAGCAGGGATTTTTTTAGAAGCAGTAGTCACTGGTAGATAATTATCTTTGAGGCAATATATTCCTCATTTTTAAAACACTTAAGAACTGGGCAGAGAATTTAGCTAACTAACTGCTTAATCTACAGAGACTGCCTGAAGTTATTGATACGTCGTCTATTTTCTGAGGTAAATTCTGCTCCATGCCTTCCTCTGATAAAAGGATGCTGATATGAACTTTTGCCATAATCATTCTTACTCCCCAAAGAATGCATCTAGTTCTGGTGTTAATTATTTTGTTTTGCTTTCCCAACAGAGCTCTGGGTATTGGACTCTTCGTTTTGGTGCTGGCAATTTTACTTATCTTTGGCTGCTGGTATTACAGAAGACGTAGTGGCTATAAAAGCCTGCAGGTAAGCATGGCAGCTCACTTTCTCACATACTATTATTTTGACAGCATATTGTAAGTATTTGCATTACATTAACGCAGAAAACATAAAATCTGTAATAGGACATCATTATCACAGCCAATATATACACTGACATATACACAGGTAAAACCACACAGTATGAAACACAGCTCGCCCTGAAGAACTTGCAGGTCAGGTGAAGGGGTAAGAGGAAGCAGAAGTGCTGGGAGATGAAGCCAGCTGCTGAACTTTGCACAACACATCAGTGGAAAAACTGATCTCTAGAAAGCATTATATTTAATAGTTACACAAAACCAAGATATATTCTGTGTATTTTCATTTAAATAAAAATAACATATTCACTACTCATAAGAATTACCCCTAAATAAGGACAGATATGATTAAATTTAGGAAGCAGTGAAGAAAAGTAACTGTTACAAGTAACTAAGTATTATGTTCATGTATGGGTGATGCATCATTTATTTGTATAAAAGTTGGCTTGCAGTTTTAAGATTTAGCAAAAAGCAGGACAGGTTTAAGGTTTGCTTTCTAAACACTACTTCTAAAAAAATTTGTGTCTTCTTAAAAATGTTAAAAAAAGATACAATCCTTCTCATAACATCTGTTGTTAGAAGTCTCAAAGCTTTATCTTTGAAATTCTGCTCTCTCCTATCAAAGAGGCCACTTTTAATCCTTTAAAGTGAAAGCTTTATCCAATTATATGTTTTATAGTAAATATCTGTTAGTTATCCTAATATTTCGAAAAAGATGTGACCATTTGGAGTTAAAAAACATACCTCTCATCTAAGTCAGCAAATACATTTCCTTCTTGTTTCCAATAACTTCGTCCTGTTACCTTTCCAGTGATCTATCCAATACTGGCAGAATAAATAAAACCTGAACTTTCATAGTGAAATGGTGCAAAAATGAAGGCAATACTCAAAAAAACCTTCAAGAAGCAAAACAGAATTCTTTCATGCCTGCTTTGTACATCATGGCAAAAAGCACAATCTCTTGTTTAATTCCTTCTCAGTGCAGATTTCTGCCTTCTGATTTTGAAAAGCACATTTTTGTTAGGCTTTTTGGATAGGGAAGAACTGGTACAGAATGTATACAAAAGAAATGGTGGAAAAATGGAAAAGAAAAATGCTGGAGATTAAAGAAAGAAATGAGGGAGATAAAAAGGTGGAGGCATTCAGGTATGTGAGAAGGTGTCAGTTCCTGCAGCAGTCCCAGACCTAAAAAAAAAAAAAAAAAAAGTGATCCTCATTTTTCTGGCAATGTAATTGGATAGTACAGGAGAGAGAGTATGTCTCTGCAGAGACAGCAAAAAGTGATAGGTAGATTCCCTCTCTGCCTGGCTGGCATTGTGTCTGGCCCTAATCCCAGATTCTAAAACATACTGTGTTGTCAAATATTGAATGATGCATAATATGCTCCAACATCACATTCTCTTCTTCCTTTCATCTTCCCTATATTTCTTTATGATCTGTCACAGAGCAAAAGCTCTGGTGTGGGCACAGTACAAACCGTCGTAGGTGAGGGAACAATACTGGACTGCAAAATGGCTCTGCAGGCGTACAGAAACTTTAATGCTGTGGTAAGTTGCAACTTGAGGTTTCATTTACTTACAACATAGTAAGACATGGTGAGACAATCTTGGTAAACAGTCACTTGCTGAAGATTTCTTTCTTGGGATGTGCTCTCTACATTGGATCTTCAATGCCTCTACATTAACTTAAAAAGTAGTATTTTGCACAGTTTTTACTGTGAAAGGTTTTTTAAAATCTGTTAAGAATTCTTCTTTTAAAAATTCTCTGCTTTCATGTACCTTTATTCTTAAGTTGTATGATCATTATGGAATCTATTAGAGTGATGTAACACCAAAATATACTGAATAAACAAATTATCTCCTTAACAGATGTTCCACCATTCTGACAAACAACAAATGGACTGTGTCTGGTATACTATACCCTGGCAAGAATTGTCAGGGAACATTATAAAACTTTAACATTTTAGCTCCTCTAATCGTTATGGAAAGATGAACATTGAAACCTATAATTCTAAAAAAGTTAAAATAACTTGATCAATAAATATATATATGTCAAGTTATGGATGTGTTTAACAATTTTAGGGAACAATAACAATAGGGAAAAGGCTAATTGACAACCAATTTTAAATAAGCTGCCTGCATTGTTAACACTGCAAACAAGACAATGTTAACTTGCATCAAGAATCTTAAAGAAAAGCTACAATATTAGTCTGAATTCTCAATGTAAAAAAAATTTTCCTTTTTTTCTTTTAACACTGAAAATTATCTCTTTGGATGAATGATACAAACAAAATCAATATAATCTGATGCAAAATCAAAAAACGTATCAGCAAAAACTAGCCTTAAAATATAAAAACATAATGAATGAGCTCAGCTGTTTTAAGCTGTAGTACCATATCTGATATGAAGGTAAATAGCTCACTGTATCTTTAATGTAATTTTCTTGTGCCTCTGTTGTTTTTTCAATCTTTCACACCCATTTTCTTACCACAGGTACCTGATGCTCCACCAGCTTACGACAAAATTGCTACAGATCAGTCACCACCACCTTATTCACCATGATAACATGAAATCTTAAAGTCTACACATACTGATTCAATTTCTTCATGCTCCTTCTTAATTTCCTGTACATGCTTAACTTTCTTAAAGCTAAAGTAATAAAAAAAAACCCCATCACCTTTTCATTAGCTGTTGCCAAAAATTATTCCTGCTTAGTTTATAGAACTGGTTCTTGAAATGCCTCAATAAATCTGAATGTGCTTTTGTTTTAAGTTTTTAATTTCTTGTGGCCAGATTAATACACTATACTCAAGTCTGAGCATCTTGCATCCTTCATAGATCTACCAGCAGCAAGTACATACCATTGAGTATCAATCAGAGTAGAAAGTGTTGACACCTTTGTTTTCAACTTCTCCACTTACTCTTCTTTTCTTTAAAAAAGAAATAAAGTATTCCCTAGAATGTAATCTACAAGAATCTGTCATAAAATGGGGAAAAACATTTGACTACATGTCATGTTACAAAGACTAACCACTTTCCCTACCAGCAGTTCTAACATTAACCTGCAAAAAGGCTTTTATCCTACATAATTTTTTATGTACCTATAATGAAATAATTCCTCATAAAACATGATCCAGGCAACATACGAATTTCTGCTTAGAGTCCATCTGATTTCATATTGGTCAATGGGTATAATGATGATCACCTTCAGTTTCCTTCTGGCAGTCTTGTGAGAAAGCAAAAGAACGTGGTATATACAAAGCTTTATGTATCATGTTTCTAACATGATGAAACAACATGAGAAAATGTGTGAAGCCCACATTCCTTGACGAATACAGAAGACAGCAGACTCCAAGATGTTAATTATTCCAGGTTGCCAGAACACAGCAGTAACAGAAAACAAAGATTAATTTGTTTAAAGACACAGATAAATCAGGCTACACACAATTGGCAGTTATTGTTTACTTTGCCTTTTTTGTTATTGTTTTCTTGCCAGATTGTTACTTAAGGTGATACACAGATCAAGAAATTTATACATAAGGCCTGACATCTCATAGAGGGAGGCATTATGAACTGCTATTAGTAAAGAATACAGCTCTTTGTCATTAAATATGCAAACACAAACATCTTAAAACAAAAAAAAGTTTTAAATACAAGGTAGATTTACTGGCCTAACATTCTATATATAGTGATAATACATAGGTTTTTAGAAATGTTTCTTTTTTAATAAAAAAGTTTATATAGATTAGTGAAATTAGATACTTGTTGGAAGGTAATAAATAGCTGTAATTGCTGTGAAACATTATCAATATATCTTTTTATAAATCTAGTTGATATTTGTATTTAGAAATTGAGAGAGGTACTTTAGCCTAAAAAGATGTCTTACATGTCTCATTTCCAATATACGCATTTGAGAAAAAAAATTATGTGGACTTGTTTAATGACCAGAATAAGAATACACAGAAGAATGTACAAAATGCCAGCTTATAGGTAGTAAGTGCCACAGATGCAGAACACAACAGCTGACTAAATTTTTTGCAGAGCTGGTAAGCTAAAGCTTGAGGCTAATTATGGTTGGCAACTCTGTATTCTGCAACTCTCTATACTGGGGCAACATCCTTTGAAAAGACTGTGCGGTACTATAGTTGAATGGAACTGACACACATATTCATGGCTGAGAAAAAAAGTAATTTCTATAAAGATAAATTATTATGAAGTGCTTAGAGTTCAAAAAGCTTTACTTGATCCCACACATTTTTCAGTAGTATGAGCATTAAATATGTTCTTAGCCATTTCAAAAGCTTGCAAGAAGTTAACATCGACTAAGTAGAAACATTAATTTATTTCTGGAACTACATCTGGCCAAATTGTTGGAACTGCTCAGCAGCCAGATCTGGAACTATTTGAACTTTGACACTAATTTATAGATACTTAAAGGATAGATAAGACCTCTTGGAAACCTATCTTTAGTTTTGAGAAAGTCCTCCCATTTTTCCTCCCTGTGAAAGCATTATTCTTTCTTTACAGACACAATTAGGCAGTGGTCGTAGACTTTAATTAGCATATGAAAATAAGAGCAAGAAATAGAGGTTTATAGAGTACTTCCACCACTATATGGTGGAAGCTTCATCACTCATGCTAAAACACCCTCACAAATTCAATTTCTCAAATCTGTCTCTATACCTCTATCTCCCAAGGGTACACTGGAGAGGCTGCCTCCTGACCCATTAAAAAACACCAATACAGGACAGGTCAGAACTTGAAAACAAGAGACCTGTAATTGCCGAAGTTGCATGCTGCAAGAACTGGCTATGTTGCATACTTTCTGCATTACACTCAGTCACATGGCATTTGACCAAAGACAAGCTAAAACTTTCTAGGATGTCTGACCCAATACAAAGAAGGAGAAATGCACAGAAACTGCTCAACTACCACACATGGAGAATGTAGTATAGTTTTCAAATTTCCAGGAAAGGCTTTTATGTTAGACAGTCATATGATCCCAGAGTAATAAATGGTCAACAAAATTTAGTTTATAATTTCTCTGGTATGGTCATGTACGTATAGGGAAGGTGTAAAAGTCAAAGATCTCCTGCTCCTCTTTTTTTTACCCTCTTTGCAATCCGGCTGCAATCAGATACCCTGTATTACAACTATAATTCTCAACAAACATGATCTTTGCACTTCATTTTTGCCCACTAAGTGAGCAAATGAAGAAACCCATGGGCAATTTGAGTTTTACCCCAGGATGCTGGTGAAGAAAGGTAGCTGGTCATAGCTGGAGAACAAAGCTCTGCTTGCTACTGGTCTGCATTAAACTGCTTCCATCAGAGAAGCAGACACATCCTTCTTCAAGATTATCTGTACAGGAGGATCTTTGCAATATCTCTATAGCTGTGCATTCAACCCTTATGTAGATACAATGAACAACTTGAAAACCAGGCCTTTTCATTAATATAGTGTGTTTTGGTCAGATTGGTAAATTATAATGGCAGCAGCAGTTGCATTGTCTGTGTCTGGATTTCTGGTATGATCCTGCTTGGATCATCTTCTTCCTAATGAGGTTACAAGCCTCAACATAGCCTTAAAAGATTCCATAATATTGGTCAGCCATCCCAGCCATTGCAAAAAGTAAAAGGCAGCACGTCCTGATGAGTGCAATCTTCCTGGCATACTGAACCATGCAGCAAAACACGCACTGGGCCAAGAGCCATAGAGTATATACAGTATAGGTCAGAAAGCTATGATAAAAGAAAGTACCAAGGACTTTCCGCAGGAAGGACTTGGTTTCTTAGAGTCTCACGAGCCCAGTGTAACAGGTCAGGCATATGCAGCTGGTTTCCAGGACAATCCAGGGACATTTACCTCCAGCAGTCTCTGCTGGCTTAATACCTGCTGCAGCTGAGTATGTAGATAAATTACCTTGACCTCAAGACTGTATTAGTATTAACCATATTGCTTGCAATTTTTCAGTCAAATAAAACAATGTCAGCATATTTTGATTCATGTTTATGTCTAATATTGTTAAAATATCCACTACTTTGTTGACATATGTCCATATATTTAATGTGACGTAAGAGTACACTTCTTGCCTTTAAAAGCAAACTCATTTTCATTTCTTCTAGAAAGTAAAAAGTTAATGAGTTCCTCCGTGCTTTGCAGAAGTAGCATTTATTCATTTGTACTTTTCTGTTGACTGCATATTAAACTGTGCAACAAAACTGAAAGACTGTTGTGTGTTCATGCCATTTCCTTAAACATATTTTGTTGCACATCAGATCTGAAAAGTGCTTGAAAGTTCCCAGTGTTGTCTTTTGTTCACACACCTGCACTGACCTTTACGTACAGTAAAAAAGGTAACTAGCAGCAGTATAAAACAAAAAAAGCTATATACAGCTACTATCTACACATCTCATACATGCTGACAGCTAAAAATCAGCCCTTGTGCACTTTTTCGAATTGACCCTCCATTTTCTAAGAGAAGATCAGGTTCAAGACCACCTGAGGAACTTAAGCATATACAAGTCTATGGCACCTGACTGAGATGCATCCCAGAGTGCTGAGGGAATTGGCTGATGTAGTTGCCACTCTCCATGTTATTTCAAAAGTCCTGGCAGTCAGGGGAAGTCCCTGCTGGGGACTGGAAAAAGGGAAATACTGCACCCATTTTTAAAAAGGGAGAAAGGAGGGCCCTGGGAATTACCGACTTCTCAGCCTCACCTCTGTGCCTGGAAAGATCATGGAGCATATCATCCTAGAAGCTACGGTGAGGCACATGGAGGACAGAGAGGGGATTTGAGACAGCCAGCAGGCTTCACTGAGGGCAAGTCCTGCCGGACCAACCTAGTGCCCTTCTATGATGGAGTGACCACATAAGTGGAAAAGGGAAGAGATGTCTGTCTGGCTATCTGTAAGGCCTTTGACATGGTCCCCCACAACATCCTTCTCTCTAAATCGGAGAGAGATGGATTTGATGGGTGGATGAGGAATTGGTTGAACGGTCACATTCAGAGGGTAGTGGTCAACAGATCAATGTCCA